CTGACGTCTATTTCACATGCCAAATTCAAGCTTTTTTTGTGTTTGTGGAAGGTAAAATACACAAAATTAAGGATGTGTATAAACATAAAGAACAAACTTGGAAGAGACAGAATATAGTTTAACAAATATTCTAATGGAAGGCTTTGCATCACTAGCTTTAAAAAGCTCATACCCACACATATCAGCTGTGAATCAGTTTAGTAATAACTATCACATCTCAAACTACAGGCTTACTTAGCAATATTAAGTATCAGATTTGATAGTTATCAGGTCCTGACCTCTCCCATTTTCAAATTAATTTCTCATGCCATCTCATTTTTTCCACTCTGTTTTACATAAATTCAAATCTGCTTTGCAGATTAAGCTTTGCCCAGAAATATCTCAATAATAAGAATATTAGAGGTAGGCTGAGAGGAACAGATTTATATAAGGGGAGCACTACTCATTAGTAGAAAAATAACGTTTCAATCCTGATTGTAAGAACTAAGGATCGGATATAGAAATGCCAAGTGTCAGATTGATAGGAAAATATTAATAAACCAAATTAATTTTGATTTAACCAAATAGAGAAAATGCCTGCTTTCTACATAAGTTCGACCTACTAAAAAGAAGATTTTAAAATACGCACTCTATAATGAATGTCAGCTTAGGAGTTCTGAAGTTTATATGTCTACTACTTACACAGAAACAGGAACAAGAGTCCGTGCTGAAGTATGAAGGCAGGAGGAGCTGCATGAGTGCAGCAGAGCATGAGTGAGTTTTTGGCAGAAGTTCACCTGAATACACTCTCTATGTGCCTGCACAACAGAGTAGGTCAGTCTACACACACCATATGGGCTTAAGAGTTTGAACTCAGGCACATGCATTGGAAAGGAGAGAAAAAGGGCTTCTCAGATGTAAAAGGGACAACTTGGGTTTTCAGCTTTACATGGCCTTTTATTGGAAGTCTTGTTTAAATCTGTGAACACCATAAATGTAGGAAATGCTACAGAATTTTTGGCCAGTTGCAGACTATGAAGTTTATTCACAAGAAGAAGTTAGGAGGCTAAGAGAAAGAAAAAAAGAAGAGGATAGCTAACTGATTAAGAAGTGAAGAAGTGCAGAAGTGAAATGTGAGAGACACAGCTCATAGAAGCTATTGTAAAAAAGAACCATTTTTATAGTCTGGAATACGCTTTTTTTCTTTTTACACTAAACCAAATATGTAAATGACCAACTCTTTTGCTATAGAATACATATTGTGCTGAAATGGGCATTAAATGTTAACAGAAACAAGTAAACTAAGAGGAAGCCACATGATAAAGGGTTTTGATAATAAATTATTAGAGATATGTAGGCAACACCTACACTTATATGATGAATATATAGAAGTTTTACTTACCTGGAGACACTTTCACCTCTGCAGTGTTCACAGGCTTATGCCTGGCCTCCTTTTCATTTCACGAGCTGGAACAGGTACAATGCCAGTCTTACACACAAAAGCAGAATCCTTAATATATTCCTGTGAGTTTCTGAAGAAGAGGGGAAATAATCATACAAACTGCATGTTTCTAAGATTTTTTCTGTCTCTGAGTAAAGAGTTCAGAGACTAACACTCACATATTTACCTAGAAGTCTTAAGAGCCTTTCACACAAACAGTAATTACAGAATTGTTTTACTAAGAGTTGCATTAGCTCCAGGCATCTCCAGAGCAGTGTAGTGTAGAGGGAGAGTCAGTGGCCACACTGCAGCTGTTAGCAGAGGCATTTCTCTGCAAGGCCACTGATACAAGCTGAGCTTACAAGCAGCAGCTCTGCCAGGGCAGCCTCAGCAGGCATGAGCCAGATCGAGGGCACTGTGCTGAAGTCACTGTTTGTGCCAGGGCTTGCTAATAAGATCACTGTAGTTGCTAGTGGGTGCATGAACAGCCTGAGTTCAGAGAGATGTGTAAGACAACAAACCACCACCACCTCAGGCAGGTCCTGAAATGGTGCAGTTTTCATTATAACCTTTGAAGCAGCAGAGATGTCCCATTCAATGGTTGGACACTCAGATGACAGCACTCATTTACATTCAAGCACATGAAAAAAACAGCTTGAGGTAGGAGAAAATGGAGACTAATGAGCACCCTTATTTATCTAGGTAGGCTCACTGCAAAAGGTAAACCTTAAAAATGCACATGTAACTTGATCAAAGTAGGAACTGATGCTAGTGGTTGAAGACAGCAAAGGCACAGCTCTGGCTCAAAGGGACTGTCATGAAAACACACAACCTCCCTTCTTCCCCATGGGCATTTCTACTTACAACTTAGATCACTCAGTCCAAACCAATGCCTCGCCTGTGAAGGCCAGGAAAAACACTATTGTTTATATTGGAGGCAGCATGGGAAGATCTCATGCTGCTTTAAGAATGTGATTTTCCTAACATGCTTTCACAAGAGCCTGTACCAAGGCTAACACTGGAGAATATTGATGAGGATACATCCTCTCTTCTGGCACCAAACACAAAATCTGCCTTGACTACGGTGTGTCATATAGTGCTAATGCCTTAATGATATTCTACCTGTTTAACAAATGAAAAGATGCCAACTTCTCCCAACTCTTGAACACGTTGAGAAAAACTTGACATCTCAGTTCCTTCTAGCCAAGGGGAAGAACACTGATATCATCCTTCTGGGCTTTTTGAGATGCACCTTCAGGGCACGCTTTGAATGCTAATATCAAAAGCCTTAAGGGTGGAGTAGCAACACAGGTTGTAGAGTTTCTCGCTAATCCAGCTGCCCTTTTCAAGGAATACTTTTCCCTTCTTACCTATTTGGACACTAAAGGGCCTGCAGCTGGAAAACTTTCAATGTATCTACTCCTTAGTTAATGGAGGCATGATCTACAAAGTAGATTATTGAAAAAAGTACTGGGACATGTTACTCCAAAAGCCATAGTAAATCAAAATAAGTGATTATATAACACAAATCCCAAATGGTAGAGAAATTTTTTTAAAAAAAGTAAAAAGAGTTACCTCCTCAGAAAACTTTGATTATAAAAAACTGCTTACAGAAAACTGAGGAGAACTGAAATGACATTAAGTGCACTTTGCACTGTGTATATCAGGGATAATATTCTAATAGCTGTAAGTATGTCTTTTACAGTAAAGTTTATATACCCTTTCCCCAACTGAACATCAGCTGCAATAGCAGTTAAAAATCTCCAAGACAGGCTATCAAATAACACAAATTAGACATTGTATTTGGCTACAGAGAACATTCTTCCAGACCAGTTTAAAAACATACAGACTTATCATTAAGCACCACAAGTTAAGAAAAGAAAAAGGAAATATTCACTATCATTAACATCAAAGAAAATATAGCTTTTGCCAACTATAAGCCATTCAATACCAGAAACCAGGTACATTCAGTGAAAGGCTATTATTCTGAGCCCAATCACAGTATTCTATTTTAGAGACAAAGATCTCTCTCAGCATACAGATAAAGGGAATAGTCTATCATTGAGTTACATGATGTCTCTACAAGTACCATCCTGAATTCTTCCACAGTAATTAAATGCTTTTGGAAGATTCCTGAGCTTTCCCAGGGACAAGCCTTTCCCAAATAGACTCTGCAGTGGGCTGCAAAAGTGAGTATCCCACTTCTCTCATACATGTGAAACTATCCAGCAGCTGGCAGAATCCAGGCACCTCTGGACACTATTTTTAATCAGTATACGCACACAGACATCAGCAGAAATAGCATCAATCCCACCTCTTGTCTCAGCTATTACCTTTTCTATATACAAACAGGATTAAGTGGCTACAAAGAAAGGGAACTACTTAAAGTCAGTACAGCCAAGAAGAAAAAAAGCATCCTTTTGGCCTATGTTTTGCTCAGCTTCACATATAGATTTCCTTTTTTTCTTCCCCCAGATAAACAGAGGCTTTGAATCAGGTCCACTCCAAAACCAGAAACCCAATTCCCTGTTCCACTCTTTTTGGGGTACTTCCTTGTTAAGCAATAAGCAACACTACCAAAGTAGTAGTACCACCTGCAAACAACATGCAGCACCTTGTTTTAGACAAAAGTTAGAAACCCTCCCTTTGTACAGAAACCAGAGAACAATTCAAAACAGGAATGTAGTATCAATTATGAATCAACTATGGGAAAACATGCTCTCACTTGCAAGCAGAGGGAAGAGACTTGCCTCAGTTACACTGCCTTGAAGTTATGTAGCATAAATCCCACCCCTAGTGGCATTTTACTATGTTAGCTGCAATTATGTATACTGCATCATCCACAGGTGTAGATTTAAATCCTGTGCTATGTAAGTAACAAACCTATTTCAGTTTAAAAATATGAAACCACACAATCTAAGAGCAGAGCTAATTAATGGCAAGTTTGTTTTGTTGATGTAATAGATCTTCCCCAAGATACCTGGAAGTCTTCATGTAGCTACTTCAAACTAAAAATTAGTTTTATTTGGATTTTTATAATATGTATGCCCCTGGGACTATTCACAGAAGCTGGATGCTGTATTCCCACTAGAACTTAGTAAGACTGATCCATCTGTTCTTCACAGCTCTAATTTTTCATCATCAGGCAACATTTGCGCAGGCAATACGGTCGCAAGTACCTCTTTGTTAGTCATGTAAATTACCTATATCTCATTGTCAAAAAACACACAAGCCACTTGTGTCAGACAGATTTAGTTTAATAGGGAATTTCAGCCAGAAGCCTAGAATAGCCCAGTTAAAGTGCTATAACCTGCGGGCAGGTCAGGGCTGAAATAACACCAGTGATTGCGTAAAGGAGGGCACAGTTAGATTCAAGACTTGGTTCAGTTTGAGCAGATCTGCTTTAACAAAGCTATCCATAAGCCGTTACAGTTAAGGCTGTAGAGATAGAAGGATGTATTTCAGTACTTGGTGGCAAAATGTTTCCAAGGGTAATTCCCCACAATACAACAATGAGAAATAAGACTGACTTTACTTTTCGCATCTAAGAACAGTTGGGTTCATTTCCTTATTTAAAACCATCTGTCTCCAGGAGTTAAATAAATGCTAGTTTTCATCTTCTTTGAACATTCTGCTCAAGTATTCAACTAGTGCTACAAGCTCAGGATTTCCCCCAAGTGATTCAATTTGTTTGTAGGCTTCAGATTCAAGCTCTTTCAGTGTATTCCGAGTGTACTCAAATGAACCCACATTTTCAAGATAATGTACACAGTATTTTTTTATGTCTACGTTCTCTGTCCTTTGACGTAAAATGTTTTGCACCTGAGTACTTTCAGGTCTTGACCAAATTGCATGAATAGTTGGGAATGAGAACTTGCCCTCAGTTAAGTCTTCACAAAAACTCTTGTTTTCACTATATTCTTTGGAGTGCAAGTTGGCATAGTCATCCCTTATTTGGAAGAATAGACCAAGTGTGTTAAGTAGTGGTTTTAAGTCTTTTTTGTAGTCTGAAAATAGCTGCATGAGGCCTACAGCTAATCCAAACAGACCACCTGTCTTTTGCAGCACCATAGATTTATATTCGTCTTCTGTAGGACATGTGTAAGTATCTCTCCAGTAAATATCCAGGCCTTGACCTTGATGGAGTTCCAGTAGCTGACGAGTAAAAACTTTAACAGCATCTGGGTGATCAAGGGTTAAAACCTTCTCTAAGCCAAGGAAATACACATAATTAGCACAGTTGATTACTGATGGAATCCCATAGATACTGTGTGCCACTGGAAAGCCTCGTCGGAGCTTTGAGTTATCTTCAATATCATCCACAAGTAGGCTTGCATTGTGCAACATCTCTGTCACTTCAATGATAACCTATTACAAGAAAAGAAAATAATTAAATCTCACTATAACTTAACCTCTAATTTTGCAAGACATCTAAAATTAGTAAGGATGTCAAGTGTGGAAGTTCTAGTGATAGGGAATACCGTTTACATCAATTGTTCTTCTCACTGTCGGTACAGATGTACGATTCTCTTCACCAGCCAGCTTGCTGCAAGTCCTGGATAACATTGCTCATCTTTAGTAATGTTCAAACTGAACTCTTGTTTCTAATCATCAGTTTCTTCTCATTGTTGCCACAATCCTTCTAAAATAGGACACTGTCTAGCCTAGCTGTCTATTTAAGCTGTAACTGCTGATCTTAGAAAGAAGCTGAACAAGCAAAGGAGCAACACAACATTGCTGTGAGTTTGGCTTCACTAACCTGGAATCTTCCAATGTCAGTTTTGAGCATCAGGTATCAGCCACAAATATCCGACAAAGTTTCGAGAAAGAAGGAAGAAGTCTATTTTTAGCAGTGAGCTCTTAAAACATTGACTATTCTCTCTGAAAGATCTGGAAAATTCTTGGCAAAACTGCAACAGCTACGGTTTCTTTGGAAAGGGTCCTAAACCCTTACATTTTTTACCGATAAGCCAATATCAAAGACTGAGATGCTCAAAATGCACTGCCACTCTGGAGCTGATGACATTTCACTAAAAGCAGTGAGCTATTCTGAAGCAGGACAGTTCAATAAGTAGTTTGATCATCAACATACGATCTAATTGTACAGCTCTTACTCAAGAAACAGGTATTTTCAGTACCGGTGTAAAGGGAAACAAGCTTACAGATGTAGAGCCATATACTGCATGAGCTCTCTGCAAAACACATTTCATTCATATACAAAAAAAAAACAACAACAACAACAAAAAAGAGTTTTTTGCTGGAGATGCACATGACAGACTTAGACTGCACTAATGGCCATTTACCAGTTAGCGAGCAAGACCTTCTTTGAACTGTAAAAAATAATTACTGCTCACTGACTTTATCAAAAAGGAAAAAGCAACTTCATAACAGACAGTGAGTATTCAAGTAATATTATGTCATTATCAGTGGAATAAGAGTCCATTGTGTTTTCTTTATTCATCCTGAAAATTTTTGTGCAAGCCTACTACAGTATTTTTGTCAACTTATTTCATTTTACTCTTGAGGTTTTGTGAAATTTTGCAGCTAATGACACTTAGGACATCATTAAAATAAGCAGTACTTCATGACTGTTTAAGTTTTCCTGTGAACTTCCATAAAAAGGCACTGTAAGAAATACTTCAAAGTTGAAAGCAGAAGATGCTCCTCTGAACACCCTGATACCTAGCAGCAAAAGCTTATTTTCTAGAAGATACCAAGTAGTCCTCTGAGGAATCAGGAGACTGGTCTTTGTAAGAGCTGAAGAACCAGTGCAGAATACAATACTTATTTATACCCCATCTAATCAGTGGCTGTTGCAGTCTTACACTGAGACAGCTTTCTACCTTGACTGCAATAGCTTAGAAATTTGCTCGACCCTTGCTGTCATTTCAGCACATTACTTGGTAGAAGAAAGTTAACCTGACAAACCTGATTCTCTCCAACTCAGCAAGGTGAAGTGTCTCAGTGCAGTATAAGATGAACACTAGAGATGCAGCAAGTGGAAAAGACCACTTGTCTGGAAACAGTGTGAAATTGTAGCAGCCAATAGTAAAAGTGCCTTGACTGCTAAGGAACAGTAGCCTCAATTATACTTTATCTAGGCAAGCTACATAAAGACAGAATGATCAAAGACAAAATAAGCTACCCATGGAGGATTTAATTATGAGTCTTATTCCAGCACATTAAGGCATAGGAAACTTTCTGTTCTGAACTCTGCTAACCATGGAATCAAACAGTAAGAACATTGGAACAAGTCCTAATAAGGTTGGGATATGTTAAATAAATGACTAGAGGCAGTCCTCTAAACTTCTACAACCTAAAGTTATTGAAATTAATACAGTTACAAAAAAAATAACAATTGTGACAGGATAAAGATTAGAAGATACAGGATCTTATTTTTTCTTCTGATGACCTGAATAATTAAAGTATTGAGCTGCACCACAAACAGCATACACAGCAAAGGAAACATTACAGTATCCATTTGATTTGTAAAGATAATTAAACAAGGATAAAGTTCTCGGAAAATGTTAATATGACCAGTTTAAAGAGACAGGCCAAACTGCTAGGCTTCCAGTCACGTAGAAGCACTGCAGCGTTAACTATAGTGCATGACAAGCCTGAGCTCCATTCTCACAGGTGCTAAGCAAAACGGCAAATCCAGATGGACATCAGAAAAAACCTGAAAGCAGGAAAAAAGGTTTCAGCATTAGAAAAGGTACCTAGAAATGCTGTGAAATCTCCATCTTCAGAAACTTTCAAAGCTGCAGTCCCTGAGAAACCTGAAGTGAGAGGCTATCTGGATAACCTCCAAACACCCTGCAATACTAGAATAATTCCATATGCAGTGTATATACATGGTATATATGTGGAAATAGCCACTTTTAGCTAATGTAACTAAGCAGCAAGGTTAACAGGAAGCCAGGTGAAAGAATTTTTTGTCAAATTCTATGGTCTATGTTAAAAATACAAATATCAAGGAAATGTATGTAACCTTCTTCCACTACTTAAATATATGGAACCACTTTACACTTGAAGACTTGAAGTGCCCCTCAAGCTACCCTAACATTGCCTCCCTCACACACACAGACACACACACACAGAGAATAACTCAGCTTAACCATTAGTGCAATTAACACAAGACCAGCTGGATAAAACTGTCAAAAACACCCCTTTGGCTATTTGTGTTGAGTATGGAGAATCTTTTGCACCCTAGAAATAAGCTAGACTACAATTCTGTCAAGCTGTAAGAAGACTGTTTCATTTGACAAAGTCATGATGCGTAAATACACTGCCATGTATCTTGCACAGGGATGTCCAAGAGAAAAGGGAAGGGGAGATCCTGCTCTGATGCTTTTCATCAGGGAATAAGGAGCCTAGACTATGTTCAAAATTCCACAGTTAGGCTCAGAATAATAAATGTTGGCTTTGATCTTTTTGTATTAAGCCTTAAGAGATGAACTTCAACTACTACATTCAGGCATTTTATAAGATCACTGGCTTATTTTATAAATCATAGCTCAGTATTAACAGAAGTGGGTTACAATGGCAATTGCTCATCAACAGCTTAACAGGCTGAGCACTTCATTTGAAGTAGTTATTCTGCATGAGAAATCACAGCAATCTTTTAGTGTTACACCAAAGTCAAAGCTCCACAGTAAAATTGTTTTCCTGAAAGCTTAACATATTCAACATATTCAACAATTAGTGCTTTTAAGATTTCTGATGATTTATACTATATTAAAAAATCCATTATCTATAGTCTTCCAAGAAAGATAACAGCCTTTTAAAAATAATTAGTGAATACCTGTATTTTATCTTCTGGAACATTCAGCCAGTGATTAAAGGCCTGTGACAATTTGGTTCTCACTTGCTTACCTATAATGAAAATATTGTTATAGGCAATTGTAAAAATCAGATATAGTGCATTATGAGGTAAAACAATTTCTCCATCTCAGCTACCACCAGTTTAAGACCAATAAGCTAATTAGTTTGATCTCTTCAACTGAGATTTCACTTGAAAGGAGAAATAAAGCATTACAGTAAGTACAGCTTGTTTCCTCATCACATACAAGCATTTCATTTGTTAGCTGCTTCCATTTCAAACATTTCATAGTAGTAAGTAGAAACACTGAAAACACACATTATGTATTTTCATGATACTGTGTTTAGCTCCGGCACTTTTAGTAACAGATTTTCAGCCTCTTGGTAACCTGTACAGATCACCTTACCATGAATTAAACTGTGGTTTGCTAGGCACATTGAGTTTGTCCATTCAAACTTGATTCATTGGTAGTTGTTGACCGAATATCTACTCTTTGTTTTCATATACCTTTCCCATAGTGCTATTCAATCCCTTCCCCACCATTACTGACATCTGCAATACAGAAAAGTGACATTTGTCATTCTTCTCTATGAGCTGTACAAAATATCTTACTCTGGGCAGAAAGGGAGGGGAGGACTTTCCATGGATTCAGCCATTTATCTTGAACCCCAGAAGTCTACCTATGGATAACAGGATTTGTTCTACTTTGATTCTCAGCAATTAGCCAATTGCCTATCTTGAAGGCAGACAACACCAAAAATCCAATTTTAGTGTTTGAATAACTGTTTCCACTTATGCTCTACTTGAAGGTGTTTTTTAAATAAAATTTAACCCATGTGACTATAAACTCATGACACTTAATAAATTGCAATAGCCTATTGACAGATATTTATTCAGGCTATCGTCACTGAAGTTCAATATGAAATCAAGCATTAAGCAATCAATCACTACCCACACTAAGGCACAACACTGCTCTAAGGTTTAAGCAGCTCAGCTATCTTTAAGATCTGTGAATAACTGCAGGACAAGTTTAGGCAGACACCCCTGCACATACAGCTCACATCAACAAAGTCAAGAGAAACAGCCATAAGCCTTGAAGCAGTGCCACCTAGATAGTGAGGTTTTAATTATTCCTCTCAAATCCTACAAGGATAACTTAAGAATGATTCTCCAAAATTAGTACTCACATTAAAAAAAGCATCCTGCCCCAAGCAGTAAGGATTTTAATATTTTACTTTTATCCTTTATTTATTGCTGGTGTGATCTGCACATGCAGAACTATACAATAAAGGGCAGATTTCACTTGCAGCTATAGACCCTGAAGATACTAAACTGTGGATTTTTCACTTTTAATTAAACCATCAGTGGGTAAACTATAGTTTTGTTGTTTAGGATTATGTAGTAGGCACACTAACCTTCCTCCCTCACTGAAAAGGCCTCCATTATTGTCTCTCTCAGATTTCCACTACTGTCACCTTTTGTTAGGAAGGCTGGCGAAAGGTGTTTCTTTCCCAACAACATCTTGCCCCCTGTGGCTCTGCCCTGTCAGTCTTGCTTGCATTCTATTAACTACTTTTAGTTCTCACTTGCTGTGCTCAGTTTTAAACACTGAGCAATAGCTTGTCACAGGAAAAACGGATTGCTTTGTCTTCTTAACAGTACAATGCCTTCCTAAGTCTCCCTTCGCAAGCTTGTTCTCTACCAGGACAGCAAATACACAGGTCAAATTTCAGAATCAGGTATTTAGAAGTTTGGGCTCCCACTTTAAACAGAGGCAGTCTGAGTTCAAATTAGTTGAAATTTAAGTGCAAATTACAGCATTATCCAAGAGTTTAAATCTGATGTTAACAAAGCACCAATACCAATTCAAGTTTCAGACCTGTTTTGACAACAGTGCTTCCCCCACAAGCTAAGATTTTAAACTAACATTTAAGCTCCTCCTTTTCCCACCTTGTATCAGATTTAATGTTTTATTAAAAAAGTATGAGCTATGATTGAGAACATAAACTGCTCTAGAGTATTGAATACAGCTTTCAATTATGAACATCTGCTAAACTGCATGGCTTGCCAGATTCAGTGTTAACAGCGTCAGTACATCCATAAAGAAAACTACTCAGATAAGGTATGACTCCTTAGTCTGTTATTATCTACCATTTATTCACATCAAAATTACATTGACAGAGTACACCTACTTTTTAAAAACACATTAGGCAGCTACTTTTTTTTTTAAAAATGTATTTCCTAGCAAGTAAGCTTATGGAGTGCTTGATATTTGCCAACAAGTGTTATGCCATTGGGAGGCGGGTAACACTACTAGTATGCACTCTAGATGTACTATTGATATGCACAATTCATTTAGCATTTTAGTTCCTAAGCACAGACAGCATGACAAGTCTGTCTAGACAGTGACTACTGAAAGAAAAGCATACTGACTGAAAGGTGAAGTACTCATCTTTCCCTTCATATGCACAAGTGGTTTGCACAAGTTTTACTCGGTTTCTCCTTTCATCACTGTTACATGTCACTACTCTGCTGGTCAATCTGAGTGCGCTGTTGTAAAACTGGAGAGTACATTAGTCTAACTTCCAAAGACAGAAGCTCTACCGAGTGCACAGAGCTAATGACAGTCATCACTAACAAGCTTTTATCAAGGTTAAATGCATTTTGCTTAATCTGCTGAAAACTACTACTACTGCCCAAATCTAACTATGGATAGTTTGTCTTCAGTGAGGCTGGGTAGAAAAGAGAGTTAGGAAAAATAGTCCGAATGTAAAATGGCATTTTCATCCTTATAATAGATTTGGTCAGAGTAGGAAACCCTTGCCTAGTTAGACAGGCAAGATGGCCTAGCTAGCCTAGCTATGACATCATCCTGAGGACAACTTCTCCTACCTGTTTAGAGAGATAAGACCTGTTTCTCTGAAACCAGCATAAGTATATAGGTGTTCTTCTGAAAGGGTGCAGACCAAAGCCCCAAAACCTCCTTGTTTGGGAGGCAGATCCCTAACTTTCATTCATGCTGCATTAAACTGACTTCAGACTCCACATCCTTAGGGCGGCACCTCACTTGCTGGGGATACATAAGAGAGAGTTCTTGGTCTCTTTACCATGTGTTTCTATTAACCCAGCCCTCATTAGCACCTCACTAAACTATCTCAACCTACTAACCAGCAAAAAAACCTGTCCACTTTCTGCTGGATTAGCTTTTTGTCAACTTCACATGATGAAGAGTGCCAGAGTTAGCACAGAGTTAGCAGCAGAGGAAAGAGAATAGTGTCCTTTTGGCACAGCAAGCTGTCTAGTATCTCATCTACTCTTCATGTTTAGTTCTGTCCTCCGATAGATTAGGGCGAAATGGAACAACTCCCTGATGCAGCCTCCCTGCAAAATTACAGGAACACCACAGCAGGCATTTGTTAACTGTTGGAACACTAGCAAAGGGCAGGACTGTACCTTTAAATGGGCTGCTGCTTGCAACAGTTTAACGTCACAGTGGGAATACAACTCAACTTCATTTATCAAACTCTTTTAAAACTCATTAATGGCTTATTGAGCTCTTTGAGAGGGTTAGGCTAGACCTGCTGTTGTAATGACAGGAGATTAGATAAGATTCTCCTACTTAGAAATAGTGTTGAGAAAGCATTTGGAAACACTATGCAAGATACCAGTTCTGAAAGATCTTTCTTCCTAACTTCTAACAACTCACAGAATCAGCAAGGTTGAAAGAGAACTCTAGAAATAGTCTAACTGCCCTGTCCAAAGAGTCAAGTTCAGCTGCTCAGGCCCATACACAGTCAGGTTTTGTGACTCTTCAAAGATAAAGGCTTTACAACCTGTCTGGGCACCTTGTTTCAGTGTTCAATCATCCTTAGAGTTAGTGTTTAATGTTTAAATAGAATGTGTTGTATTTTAGTTTGTGTGAATTGTGTCTCATTCTGTCACTGGGCACCATATACCGCCCGCTCCTCCTTCACTACAGTTGAGGTTCAAGCTCTTGTATCCACAGGGTCTTGCAGGAGACCCTGTCTATCTCCTTTGCTATCACTCACTCAAACGAAGGGGAATCTGAGGGGGATCTTCTAACCCCCTTTGCTTAGTCACGCCGATATTCCACGAGGACACAGCTTCCACAGGCAGGAGCCACTACTTTCCTCCTGCCCAGTGAGGGGGTCGGGTATCCTAAGATCTGTGGAGCTACAACCACCTCCTGCTCAGGAGGTCAGCTTGAGCCAAGGCCTCTTATGTGCCAGGGGCAATTACTCCATTTGTGAGGATCATGCCCTGAAAGGGGCATGAGCACCACTGCTAAGTTACCATACACTGTCCTCAGGAGTTTCTGTCCCTCTTCTGTACCAACTGCAGCATAGACAGCTGCATCAGTGGGTTCCACTCTCTCCTAGAGAATGCATCAGAATAGTGAGCAAACAGTGGCTATTGAGATGAACAATACATTTCAGTAAGTACAGTCATTCAGAGAGAAGCATCAACTCAACCTTGCTACTGCTCTCAACTCCTTCAGTGAGCTGGTTCAGTTCATCAACACATTGTGAAGAGCTGAAAAGGGAAAACCCATCTTTCATTTAAGCTGCTAAACAGGCCCAGCAAAGGGCATAACCAAGATTGGAGCAGTGAACAGCAAAGGGCAGGAGCAGATTTGGATCAGGAGCTATCCCCTTCCACAGGGAGCTGTTGATCACTTCAGTTTCAATGCAGCTCCTTCTAATTCTTTAGTGCTGCTTAACCAGCTGCCATTGTAGATTCAACCACTCTAAGAGAAAGGGTTCTTCATTCACCACCTACACAAATGAGTAAGGCTATTCAAGATGGACCAAGGTATTGGTATTGTGGAAGTTAGGCATGTTTTGTGCACTTCATTGACTGTCTAAGGGACATTTCTATAAGCTGGTATGAGAATTTTGTTTCACCACAAATAGATTCTACAAGAAAGTAAGTTTGAAATGTATGCTCCCCTAAGCATTATACTGTTAATAAACATTAGTTAGCCTACTAGTAGTTAATATGGCTTAGTTGTGGTCTTATGTTGTGATCAATATACTCTTGAAGTTAAAATCAAAGGAAAAACAAATAAGCTTACAGTTCAAGTATCAGCACAAACTGCTACATTAAGTCTGATACCATTAACGTGAAAAGTAACTAGCTTCCTCTTGTACTGAGGTATAATTCCTTAATATTTTTATATTAAAATTGCATTCTTATACTAACAAGTATTAGAAGACACTTGTTTTCCAACCATGCTTGCCAATTAACAATTTGTTTTTTTTTAAATAAAGCTAATCTGATATGTATCACAATCTGGAAGTTGTTACAGGCTGAGCCATTTGGAGAGTTTCTTTTTCAAGGGCCTCACAAGATAAGCCACTGCACTATTCTAGGACCACAGATCCACATGGCTTGGACTCTCAGCCAAGCTTTCTCCAGAAGCCCCTCACAGCTCTGATGCACAGTTAAGGTTGACGTTAGACAAGCTAACAAGCTCATCTAACACAGGAATAGCTTTGCCCCCACCCTTGTATCAGGTCACTACAGGGACAGAAGATGATTAACCTTTTACTGTACTAGATTTTTTTAAAAACAGGTTAGGTTATTGATACTACCTAATCATTAGGTTAGTGAGCTGAAAACCTGCACCTGTTCAGAAGTGGGAAGATAGTGCCAAGAACATAAGGAGGAGAGAACAAAACTGCTTCTTTCAGACAGAGTGGAGCTCAGGTGAGATGCCAGAGCTTATCTAACATGGCCCTAATTACAAACAGCTAGTATATTCCCTACTTTTTACTCCAAAGACTGGTGTTAATACTGACAGCCATTTATATAAGTAATTGACATCTAATTCTGTACTTGGCACAGCCAATTTGGGGACAAAGCCAATGTTTGAAACAGTAAAATCTAGTGCTGTGTATAGTTTCACATACCCTTAATAGTTTCACAAACCCTTACTGCTTACACTGTTACTCAGAACAAGCTTACTGCATGCACATGACTTACCTGCTTAGCTTAGAAGTTTCCCCTTTTGGATTGTCATCAATTTGGCACAAAAAGAAACAGATACCCTTTCACACTTTTCAAAAACATGCACACAATGATCTGAAGTTAATTTAGTTCAAAGTGGACAATCATACTTACAACACTTTAGTAGGATAGAAGATTATTTCACTGCCACTGAGCAAAGCGCTGTATTGTATAACATGAGACACCTGCATGCACTAGCCCAGCACAGATACAAATTCTGATGGAAGTTAGTAAAACCATCAGTTTAACAAGGATTGAATTCAAATTACAGGAAGTTTAATACAGAAGTTACACAAATATCCCACACACATTTAAAGTGAAAGACTTCACTTTAAAGAGCTTTTAGTCAGGCGCTTGGAAGCAATGGAAGCTTTTTGTCTTAATACTATTGCTTATTTTCTACTGGGAAGCTGAGCTTCTTTCCTTCCCCACCAGTAGTTGTAAGACCTTAAAAACAGTAGATAAAGAGGACATCTATACCAAAAGGTATTTGTTATAACACAGAATCTAACCAAACACTCAAAGTTTGTATTACAAAGTGGTATTAGCTTTTCCTCAGGTCTAGCCCTTCCAAAGCTATCTAGAATAGCTCACATTCATTCTGAAGGAATTATTCTAGCAAAATCACCACCCAGTTTAATAGCCACATGGAAAGTACTTCAAGAAAACAAGCAGCAAGCTTTCTGGCATTCAGAAGGAGTGTTATTGTTCTGGTCTTTCCTTCTATTTCTAAACTCAAGTAGTGCCAAATACCAACTCAACTTTGATCTCTAGTGTGGACAAGAATCCACTATATTTGTGGAAGCAAATAATGAAATTGACCATAAGTGGGTTAGAGACCTACCCTGCACAACTTGTTACAGAAGTGCAAGAGCCACTTATTACTGTAACTATTTCTTTATGCTACTTGTTCAGATAGGAGGGCTAACCACCTCCCCCCCCCAATTATTAAAGAAAATAATTCTTATCAAAATAGTATTCACTGTTTTCTACCTTCCTGAATTCCACTAATGTAAGACAAATCAGTAATGCAACACTCCAATGACACAAAATAGTTCCACTATTATTTCTACAAAATTTAATCCATTTGATAGCTTGTATGATCTTTCTTATTCAAGGGCACAAATAAAAGCCACAGCATACATTTACTTAACGAGTCTGAGCTGCATACCTATGCACTAGTTTTCTATCAGCCTGACTCCTGAACACTACTCAAACTGCAACTGTCAGACAGAACACTTCATTTGAAAATGTTTCTAATTGTCCAGTACCACACAGGGACAGTGAAGCAATCCAACAGCTGAAAGAGGCCATAAGAAAGCCTGGCCTCTGCAGCAAGGAAGTAGGCACTTTTTTTAAAAAAAAAAGTCCACAACACACAGCATGAAGCACAGCAAATAGATCATCTTAGCAGTGACTATGTTTCATTCTTCAAGAATGGTACCAAATCTTCAGTGCTTGTTCTTATTAGTTTTAAGTAGTAGTTGGTCAACTGCTCTAAACAGATTGCTGAGTAACTGGAGGACCATCTGCTCCAAAATAGTCACACCTGGGAGCTGCTGAAACAATTCAAAAGGCTGGGTTTCCAAGAGGAACAGAATACATAATGAAGCATGTTGCTTTCAATTACTCTTAAACCCACCTTAAGCTTCTTGTCTTACATTTCTCAACACAAACATGCTATAAAAACAATTTTGATATTTAAAACCAATTCAGTATCAGGAAGCTTGCCTGGTAGTTGAAGTAAATACTGGTATGGCTCTAAAAGGATTCTTTTAGAGGTCTCATCCATTGCATCCATTTCTTTATTTCATAAGAGGTAGCTCACTGTTAAAAGAAAAGAAAGTGTTATTAACATTGCTGAGATCAATGAATCAGGAGTAATAGAATAGATCACTAAATTCAGAAAAACTAAGCTAACTGTTAGACTAGGTATAAGTACTCCATTATATCTTTGGCAATTACTATCTTCACAACACAAGATTTTTCTTAAGGTCATTTAGATAAGAACTAACCATATGTTCTAAATATAGAATTTAGAGGCTTTTAGAAATAATTCGCACCAACTCCTAGAACTTGTAGGGTTTACTTACCTCTACTAGAGGTCAGAAGCATTTAAAAAGGGGCATTTACAACAATTAAACCTCACTATATCTTGGCATATACAAAAAATTCATATAAGTGCTCTAATTGAAGTTCTCCAAATGCTTTCCCTAAACAAAAGTTTATGTTACCTTCGTGTAAGGTACATTATCTCAAGCATACATGCAAGCTGAACATTGGCTTGATTTTTCAAAGAGATTTTCAATCCTGTTTTAAAAGTCAGAACAGAAATACACTACTTTCTTGCCTTTATTAGGCACCCAGACATCTTTACACACATCTTATACTCTTACAAATCTTTACCATATGCTCTTATGAATTTTTAGGATTCATTCCCATTCCCTTCATACTTCATCAATTATCTTTTACAGGTCACAGACCCTTTAGTCATCTATATTTGACTTTTTTTCCCCCCCTCCTCCAGGCTATTTTCTATAATAGATTTTTCTGTCCTTTCACCTCTAGCCTTCCTTGCTGCACTGCAGATGCAGCAGCTCAAAACAGTTCTTCTAATGTCATTTTAAGACACAAACTGCAGCAGTAGCACAAACTGATCACGCTCTCATGCTACTTTAGCATCATTTCTCAGCTATTTAGCAAGCATCTTTGAAAGCACATACCCCTTCCCCAACTCCTTCCCCCCTCATCCCCCTGGAAAATTGAATAGTATAAGTCATTGATACAAGAACTGCTTTAAAGTGACATTTTTAAGTATTGATGGATACATTTCTAATCTAGTTAGAGAGAATGATCAGCATCTGTGCAATAAGCTATGTTCAACGACTGCCCAAAATAATTCAGCAGCGTAGCTTCTCAGCAATTCAGGGGATCAGTATCAAGATCACTGCTTCCTCTTAAGATGCCTGGACCAGATGGAATTCCTCAGAATTTCAGCAGCTCATTCAGTTCCTCCCATTCCCACCCTCCTACCCTTAAATATTTCTAACAGCCAAACTGGGGAAAACAATCCATGTGAACAATGACTTTCCAACTTTTAAGTCGAGATTAATTCATACATTTGGTTCACCGCATGTATTTACATAACCTGTCATAACTTCAGAAGCAAGACAGGCTGTTTAAGCAAGCATAATTGCTGGAGAAACACTCATAAGACTGCACCTTTTGGAAAAGCTTCACTTGGTTTTTAAATCAGTAATGTCACCATAAGAGATATGGCCCTTCCATCTTATGCCTTGGTGAATCAACACAACTGGCTGTTAGGCCACACCATAATCTAAGCCAGGTTTACTTAACACCCAGCTCTCCATTTTTGTCCACTTACTGGTATAACTGAAGGGATAGGCACTGCTTTGGAGCCAGCACTCACTGACAGTCAGCAGTGAAACTGCATTCCCATGTTTCCAGGGTAGGCATAAGGAGCCTTCAGTGAGGAAGCACAATCAAAAAGATTATCAAAACCCACGGCCAGATATTTTGAACAGGAAGAGAAACTGTAGAGAAAGACATAGGAAGGCATTACCAAGACAGCACCTCTCCTGTGACGGTTATCTGCCAAAAGACCACACAACAGATAGGGCTGTCTTTTGGCCTAGAGAGCAAGATGCTAAGGGTGCAGTTCCTCCTATAAAGGCCTCCCATAGCTAGACAGGCAGTCTACAGCAAGCATATGTGGCAGTACCACTAATCAGAGCACTCAAAATCCAAGCCTTTCCCAACAAACTGTTTAAAAGCAAACCTTAAAATTCTTCCTCTCTCATCAGGGACTGAGAAGATTTCTCTTGCCTGTCAAGGAAAAATCCCCACTCTTTTAGCACTGAAAAAGAGTTTCCTGTATTAATTTCTGAAACATTGCTTATCCACGAGGCAGAAAGAAATGTAGTCGCTTAAGCAAAAAACTTTTTCAAGGAGAGCTTAAATCACCACAGTTAAGCTTTTCTAGGCCGCTTATGGCAGGTAGCTTCTGCTAACAGAAAGACAACAGTCTAGTCATTTAGAAGAATGATTAGATGTCTAACACACAGCATGAAGAGTGACCAGAACAGCATCCAGAATCTATCCCAAAATTACACAAGGGATGCCTGAAAGAAATATGGAGATGCTTAAAAGCCAATCAGCAGAAAACACCAGGAAGTATGAGCAAGACAGAGAACCGTAATATTGCTGCTCCTGGTATAAAATTCCAATATTGAACACGCTGCAGGAAATTCTTAATATTGAGAGCCTTCTGCTGAGGCAGCTGATCAAGATACTACAGAAGTCACAGTATTACAAAAAGCCCTCTAGTTTAAGAAATTGAGACAAGATCTCAGTTGATGCATCTTAAAAAGATGCAAGAACTTGAACAATAGGTGAAAGGAAATGTAAAGCCTTTCACTAGTGGAAGTGCAATCCTGCATGTATATTTATTCAGAAGATTATGGCAGCTAAGGTGATTTTGCTCAGTTCAGTTTTAAGTCCTACACATTCTCTGCATGACAGTTAACACATAGCTTTCCCCCACCCCCCAGCTACTTCTCAGCAGCACCACATAAACCCACTAGAACCACTATTATGAGCTTTGTCTGAGCAATGCCAGCCTACAGAATTGTCTTTTGAACCGCAACATCATGAAAGTGTTCCAGGTCACACACACACACACACACATATAGGAGGAAAAAAAAAATTAAGCTGTTTAAATCGAGCCATCCCAATGGCTCCATTTACAGCAAAACTGCCTTGAAAATAAGACAGTCAAATAGAACAGGAGTGGTGAACTGCACTGCAAAAATCGACCAGCCAGATAATTCTTGAGAGCGCCTCATGACAGGATGTAGTTCACCAGGACGCTGGTCTCGTTGCAAGCAAGGCAAGAAGCCCCAGCATGGGGATGTGGCAAGCGAGAGAAGATCTGTTTTGGATGGGACACAGGGGTTCTGCTGGGAGTGAACGTGGTATCAAAGGCACCATCGAAGTGCCCATCCAACGGTAACTTGGACGGGCTGCTTGTCATCCCGGCCCACATCCTCAGGGTAATTAGAGGAGCTCTTTTTATGCCCGCTCCCAGACG